TACATGCAAAAATAAGTCAAAAATGAAGAATAAAGTTTTTGGATTTCGGCTTAGTTTAGCCGTAATCCGCCATTTTGTTTTTTGGGGAAAATATTTATTATTTCAAAATCCCTTTGAGATGTTTTTACGAAACTTGGCAAAATTGTTTACATTATAGTAAGTAACATTTATAAAAAAAATTATTATTTTAACTTTCCAAATTTCAAAATGGCGGCCGTTTGAATTTTTTTATGCCAAATTTCATGAAAACCGGTACCTAAATCAACATTTTGTAAGAGACAAAAGTTTTAGTATTTATTATGACAAATCCAACAAAACAAAAATGAATAAAATCGGTTCATAAATAAAGAAGCTGTGTTTATTTTAGTAATTTAGACTGAAATTATTAATATTAAAATGTATTAAATGTAATGTAATAATTTATGTAACGTATTAAGTAATTTCAGTCTAAATTACTAAAATAAACACAGCTTCTTTATTTATGAACCGATTTTATTCATTTTTGTTTTGTTGGATTTGTCATAATAAATACTAAAACTTTTGTCTCTTACAAAATGTTGATTTAGGTACCGGTTTTCATGAAATTTGGCATACAAAAATTTAAACGGCCGCCATTTTGAAATTTGGAAAGTTAAAATAATAATTTTTTTATAAATGTTACTTACTATAATGTAAACAATTTTGCCAAGTTTAGTAAAAATATCTCAAAGGGATTTTGAAATAATAAATATTTTCCCCAAAAAACAAAATGGCGGATTACGGCTAAACTAAGCCGAAATCCAAAAAATTTAATTTTTCATTTTTGACTTATTTTTGCATGTAGAATTAGGTCCTGTATAGCCCATCACACTTTTTTGTGACACCCTGTATAAATGCTGGGACATTTCATAATAGTATCATGAGGTATCAAAGTGTTGTAGGTTATATTATTTCACATACCGTACCTTTAGTTTGACAATATGGGCTGCAATGTTTATAACAGTGACCGAAACTACAAAAGGAGTTTGAATGTTGTATAAAATAATTTCCTTTAGAATAACGAACAAAATATACTTCATATAAAAAAAAAATCTTTTTATTTTAAAAAACTATATTTACAAGTATTGTAATAGTTATACACGTCTTAATACAATTAAAAATATTGTAGATTAAAAATAATTCTTAAAGGTAAATTTGTCATCCTTGTAGATCATCTGGTACTAGAGGTGTGTTTTTATTAAATAAAATTTGTTTCTTGTTATTTCAGATATTTTTAAAACTTATGAAGCCAAATAAATCAATATACCATAAACAATAGCTCGTCCCTTTTTCATATCCGGAAAAAAGGCAGTCATCATAAAATCAACCGTAATACAATAGAAATACAATTTTGTTGACACTAGCACCCAGTGTCGCCAACATGAACTAGATATGAAAAAAAGCTTTAGAATCATGTAGCTTAATGGGAAATTATGTATTAAGACGTGTATCACTATTACAATACTTGTAAATATAGTTTGTTAAAATAAAAAGAATTTTTTTTATATAAAGTATATTTTGTTCGTTATTCTAAAGGAAATTATTTTATACAACATTCAAACTCCTTTTGTAGTTTCGGTCACTGTTATCAACATTGCAGCCCATATTGTCAAACTAAAGGTACGGTATGTGAAATAATATAACCTACAACACTTTGATATCTCATGATACTATTATGAAATGTCCCAGCATTTATATTTAAATTTAATTGTAAAATAAAAATAACCTAAGTAAAGAACAGTTTTTCCCATAATTTCTTCCTGATTTATCATCAATTTTTTTTATTCATAGATCTACAAACATAAAAGCTATGTTTATCCTTAAAAGGTGTCTCTTGGTACTTGTAATTTCGGTTGCTTTAAAAAGTACCCCTGCCGCAGTAAACCTGCAGACTGAATATTATATTATACTCAAATATTCCCTGAAAACTGTCAGCTTTATTTCCTATTTAAATAGAATGAATTATAATGAGTACCTAGGTTTGCTGCTACAGGGAAGGTATTGAGGTGAGTTTTATATTGAAATGTTGATAGCTTAGTATGAAATAAACAAAATTGCCAAATTTGATTATAATATATCCATTTATAAGCAAACTACAACCGTTTTTTTGATTATCCGTAAGAATAACATGGGCATTTTGAATTTAAGTTTTTTTTTTACTATATCCATAAACGTTAGGCATACAACAGCCCTTTGCTATACTAAATTATTTCTTTTTTTAAGCTCTACAAAATGGGTTAAGAAATAAATTGCAAATTGTTTGGTTATTAGGGTCAAAAATGGGAAAAACCTATTTTAACCCCATAACCCCATATTGATTTTTAGCTTCAATATAAAATAACTAAAAAACCATCAAAGATACGAATTTCACTACATTAACATTTTTAAAGATCATAATTTTATGAGTAAATTGACGTTTATTGTAATGTTCTACCTAGAATAGTTCTCGAGTTATAGGCGTTTTAGTAAACAGCGCACCCCGCCATATTGCCCCCCTCCCCCCCGGGTGTCGACCACGCTGGGGGGCGACGACATGCGTTTTCGTGATCACTATAGTGCCTATAACAACAATCAGAAATAAAATTGCGTCACCCTTTTCATGCATGCTCAACCCCCTTCAGATCCTGGACTAATAAGAAAATTTAAGAATTGCTGTGATAAAAGGATTTGCTACAGATTTCGTAATGGAACGTTATATTGCAAAACATGACATGATAAAGAAGAAAATCAATTTTAAAATCAGAAAATAACATTGCAAATACTTATTTGGATAAATGTGTTTGAAATACAATTTAAAAATGAACAGCTGTTTCATTAAAAAGTATTATTCACATGGCCAAAATGTAAACAACTCTGTGGAGGGATCTTTAAAGGCTTCTGGGGGCAGAGTCCTAAGGGATTTTGATTAGTTTTTCTTTTGATAACTTATCTACAGACCAAGACCTTTCTTTGGACACCTCTAACAAGTTTCTACGCCCAGCCGTTCTCTACAATTAGTGGGGACAAAGTTTCCAATTAAATATTTAGATTTCCCCATGTTAATCTTATGGGAGAATCTCCAGCTATGATGGCCTGTGGGGCAAAGCCTGAGGATTTTTATTACAGGAATTGGTAAAAGGGGGCGTCTACACAAAAAATACTTTATTTTGACACGTCGTTTGTAAAAATCCGTCCATTATTAACGGAGGAGTAGTGTTTTGTAGAAATCGCCTTCACGTATTATATATAAGGATGGTTTATGGGGGTATGAATCTTAGTTTTATCAAAAGTTCATGGGCACTTTTGGCTTTATATAGATGATCCTGGCTAATGAATCAGCTGATCTTAGTCAGTAACAAAGCTACATAGATCCTCTCCCTCCATTTTTACACTTGTGATTTACTCACAGTTGGGTTAAAATACGCACCTAGGTCCCCATCACAATGATTGATAATTGAGGTGTTATGGGAACCATGACCAATTGGTTGAAATGCCGACACGATTTTTATCCGATGAGTCAATTACAAAAATCAGTTTTTAATTTCAATGGGTCGAACAGACCACTTTTGTTACTATGAGAGTAAGCTAACCACTCGCCTACTCAGCTCAACATGCATACCATATAACTATATGGCTCCTTACAGTTAGAAACTTTACTGTTAATCGTATGGTAGAGTCTGTTTAGTTTGAAACTCAAATGTGATTTACTAATTAGAAAAGTTTCCTCTTCCCTCATTAAAACAGGTTCATCTTTCACAGCCTAAGTGAACTGTATTAAATTTGTAATCTCTTAAAATTCTGTTGCGAATAAAAGCATTTAGGTGAGATTTTTGTTAAACAGTTATTGATATTCGATAATACATGAATACGGTGGAGCGAAAGTGGTTGGTTACAAAACCTTTGAGACGTCAATCACTACTAAAATATTTATCATTAAGTATGACTTGCTTCCCCCTAACGTTTAGTGTACCAGACAATAATGTATGTATGTATTTCATGTAAGTAATTAATGTATTATGGAATGCTGGGATGGTAATATTGTTAAGCTTTTTCACTAGCTTTTATCGACACAATTTTCATATAATTACGTAGGTATAGCTAGTTAAATTATTTATGTTATAATAACTTCCGCTCCCCTGATATCTAACATTACATTGTTACGTCGATCAATTCCAATTTATAACTCATACTCCCATACTCTATGCAGCATCTCGCCCATGTTCATCGCCAGTCTACTAGCATTTAGGCTTGCTTCCTAACACAAAGGAGACACACTACAGTATCACAATCTTGATTGTGAATTGTAACAGTTTAAAGAGTATGGTAATTGTTAGCATAAGAAATCATACTTAACCGACTGCTAGCCAAACTCTTAGCATGTTCTAAAAGCTGATCACCCTGTTTCGCCCCATTTCATCCCTTGACACTGGATCACAGACCAACAAAGGAACATCACCATACAAAAATACAATGTTACGAATGTTTTGTAACAGTTTAAATTCAAATTACACTCGTTAAACACCCTAAAAGCTGTATCAATACAGATATATCTGTGAATGGAAATCGGTAAACGCTAACTGGTGATGGGTAATGGAGGACGGTGGTGAACTGGACTCTACCAAACCGAGTTGGTTTATATAATGTTCCCGCTCTGGCGGTTCTGAATGACTAATCACAATTAGAATAAGAGAAACACTGTTTAAAAATGGAATACATTAAGTTAGGTCTTGATACATGAAACGAGATACGCGACACTATCTGACTAGTCCATCTTCACCACCACGTAGGGGTACAACACACACACACACGTACACCATACTGTGTTACTGTTTATATTACACATAAATGTATCCAAAACTATAGACCACTGCGAGATACAATCTGATGGCAAGGATGCTGCTATGACCTAGTTTAAAGGAGGTCACACTTTGGTTGGTATCGCCCATTACGTTTATCTTCGTCGTATTCCTTGGAATTGCACCTCGAGCTGGTCGTCTACTCACCAAGTGGGATCCCTCCGATGGCCACCGGTGTGATGTCTGACACTCATGCCCCTCCCGAACCCGGTATTATCTCGCGAACATGACTACGACTACCGCACTGGGTGGGAGCGGTCTGGTCGCTAACGCTGAGCCCGGCGACAAGGGTGAGTCCAATGGTGGTGGGTGGCCACACCCGCACCCGCCACCCCACGCACACATACACTCACACACACACACAAACACACGCGCGTACATGCGCGGCCGTTCAAAATGTATACAATCTCTAGACACACTTTTGTAATTTTCCGTTGGGTTAGTCATAAAAAACCCCCGCCACAGCAAAACTGCAGAACAAGCACATCGTCATTGCCTGGTTGGATTTGTACTTTAAATTTCCTTAGTGTCCGATTTATTCCCTGTAAAACCTTAGGTTTAACGAATACCTAGGTTTGCTAATACAGAGCAGATGGTGAAGTGTGATTTTAGTGAAATGCAAAATCATATATCTTATCCTATTATTTAATAGAGCAATGTATATGTGTTTGTCTGTATGTCTGTAATATGTATCTCGAAATCCACCAGAATGATTTTGACTGAATTTTGGAATTAGGGACTTATAGCCCTAAAAATGTGATTGGTGACAGCCACTACCTCAGTAAAATTTTCATATCTACATAACTCGTTTGATTTTTTTAAAATTTAACATTAGCCTTAGGGGTTGCTAAGTAACTATTTTGGTTGAACAAAATAACAAGGAAAAGGTAAACAAAGGACTTGTAACATGTGTTCATAAAAAGCCATCCACACTATACTAGCAAATTACAAAATACAGTACAAAGAGAAAAACATCAGTTGTAACTATTGATCAAAGATTACACTGAACATTACTCGACATGGGGGGAAATAGTTCTGATCAAATACTGATTACCGTATTTTACTTAGCCGTCCTACACCAAACCTTAATACCCTCAGTACTGAGGCAATTTATTGTTAGAAAACTTTAATTTAGCAGTGAAATAAATAATTAAAAATATTATAGGCTATTTATTTGAAGTAAATTATAATTTAAACAAACATTTTCAATCAGTTTTTTTTTTTCAATTTCCCAACTGTTAAAACGACGTTCATCCTAAGATAGGATATGGGATATTACTGTATCTAAACATACATCAATGGAGTGGTGGTAAACCACAAGATACGCACAGCCCTTTTTAGTTTTTTGGAAGGCAAAGACTACAACAATCTACTTTTACCAACGACCGTTTTTTAAAGTAGCCATTTCAGTTCAGTTCTTAGAATTGAAAAGTTTCACTTAACAGCTGTTTACTTTCATATCAGCATAGTTTCATTTCATATCAGCATAGTTTTTCTCATATCAACACAGGTAACGGACCAATGAGATTCAAGGATTGAGAGAAAAGAAGTAATGTTTCGAACGTCAACTAATCAGCTGATCAGCTGATCGGTTGACAATTATTTTAATTGTTGGTCCGTCTTGTTCAATGTTCCTGTTGATACTCGTGTAATTTTAACCTAAGTTGGTGGTTAAAGGAAGGTAGATTAAACTGATTCAAAAATTTCAGTTTTAGTGAAAGTGAAGTTGACGAGATGGAAATGATAGCACAAACTGTTTGTGCTAATCTTTTGCCACCAAAATCGAAACAAATGTATGAAATTACATACCAGTAATTCATTAAATGGACGAAACAAAATAAGGTTGGATTGTTAAATAAAAATGAGCTTCTGGTTTATTTTGAAAACCTCTTAACCGTTGTTTCACCCAACTCGTTGTGGACGACATATTCGATGCTGAGATCTAACTGTAAATTAACTGTTTCACTATATTGTTCAGTTGTCCAAATAAATATGCAATATTTCCCTAACTGTAACTGATTTATGGTACAGTATTTATGGTGAGAATGCTGCTAGAAGAAACTATTGCCTGCAAAAAATAGTAACGTATTATTTAACGAAATTTTACAAACACGTAATTACATGAAATCAGCTGATTATACAATAAGTCGTTGCATCACTTTCAGTGGCAATGACAATCAACGAAAACACAACCTCTCTAAGAAGTTATGAGTAATGATTGTTAGTAATTAAATACCCCCGCCGCAGCAAACCTGCAGACTAAGCGAATTTCCATTTGACTGATTGGATTTATACTGAAATGTCTACTTAAAAATATAACATTTATTCTTGATTTAAATAGAATTAGTTTAACAAGTACTTAGGTTTGCTGCATCAGGGAGGGTAAAACTGTTTTTTTTTTTTTTTTTGTAAAATGTGAATAGTTAGTAAGAAATAAAAACATTTTCCAAATTTGATCAAAATATGTTCACAAACAAGCAAACTACAACAGTTTACTTATTCTCCATAAGAATAACATGGGAATTTTAAATTAACAATTTCTCCGTAACCACTAGGCGCATTATAACGCTTCAATATACTAAATTATTTGTTTTTTTAAGCTCTACAAAATAGTTTGGAAAGAAATTACAAAATGTTATGTTTTTCGGGTCGAAAATTGGAAAAACCCATTTTTACCCCATAAAAGCCCCCATAAACCGCCGTTCCCATGGTCCGATCATGCTGGTTCGCGAACTCGTTCGAATAAACGTAGGTTAACACGTTTGTACCAAATTTCATCAAAATCGGATCATTTTTGCTCGAGTTATCGCGCTAACGGACACATATATATATAAATATATATATATATGAATTTGAACGGATGGTGTTTTTGGCCTCTAGGGACCTCAAAACGAAAAAAAAATCGGTCCCGGGTCCAGGTCTTACCATGAGTACTACGGTAATAGCTTATTCCCTATATGGGAAATTCGCTAAAACCAGATTGTTAGTACTTAAAAAACTGTCGTAGGTAAAGTAGTGTACGCAACTCGCGTTAATAGTCTTTACGTCACTCGTAGAAGTTTTTAAGGCACTCGCCAAGGCTCGTGCCTTAAATTTTCTACTCGTGTCGTAAAGACTAACTTAACGCAATCGTTGCGTAAACTACTATATTGAATCAGAAAGCCCTGAAAGATTACTAAGACTGTAATCACTATAGTCCAATGCATACACTAATTGTTTGCAAAATGATATTGAATTCATCTTAGTAAGAATAAGATAAGAATATTAAATGTTTAGTTTTTTTCCTCTTTTTCTCCGTTATCATTAAGTTCACTACCGGTACAACACATTTTTCTGTGATGAAATGCAGGGTTTTCTGTAAGTACAAAGATCTTAAGAATAGGTCTGATGGTCAAAATAAAACTAAAATCAAGAATATTTTTTAAGGCTTAGTTTCCGATATATTTGTCATTTTTTTAACTTATGTGTTACTAAAATGAAAGGCATCTTTATTAAGTTTGTTGCCAATTTTAAGTAAAAATAAACTGTTTGAAACTGTTAGACATAGATATGTAATCACTAAAGTTAACACTAAGTTATTTTTAAAATGTTGTTTCAAAATGGCGTCCACTTTTTATTTACAACTTAAATTTTAAAATATGTCACGAACAATTTTGCTTACCATTGAAAATTCCCTCTTAAACGACATTAAGCTCAATAACATTACATAATAATCAGCTGTAAAATCGTGATTTTTAGTTACACAGGCCAGGCATAATATTATTATGCATACTGAGACAGCTCGGCCTTATTTTATATCATAATTGTATACTTCTTACGATATGTTTCTTCCCTCTCGTCAAGATCCTTTAGATCCAGTGTTCCACAAAGCAAATGTGCTGAGGTAATGTGCTCCGTAATCGTCTGTTCATGAGAAGCTGAGAGGGGCTGTACCCATTCCAGAGGGGTGTCGTTCGAGGCTAGAAGTGCTAAGTAAGTGCCTTCCACGTTTTTCTTTAGAATAATTTTTGCAATTTTTACTTCCACCTCAACATGGACACTCTGTAAAGCCCTTAACCTTTCCAAAAGTCAGTCCCGTACTACGTTGAACATGCGTAGAAATACTATCAAACTTTCGAGGTAGCTGCCTCAAACGCTGTTCACTATTTTTGCAGTACGCAGATGTAATCATATTGCCTACAGCGCCTTCTTCTGTACCCACATTGCCTAGTCACTCTGCGCAGGCGTCGTCAAAAGCTTCTTCGCCGAGTAAACAATCCAAGTGTTTATACCTGTGAAAATCTTATATTTAAAAGCAAAACTGTGTCATTTCACATACATATTTTTAAATGTTTATATTGTATCTTGGTACATTATTTTGCTGGCTCTAATGTACTGTTTAATCTGGCCATCCCGTCCATCCGTCCACCTGTTTAGTGGTGAAACCTTGGATTTTAGTGAACATGTAAATTTAATTCTTCCTGATAGTTTTTTTTACATTTTAACCATTCAGGACAACTCCGTAACTGTATAATGTAATATGCAATCTTCTTTAATGTGGTTATTAAATTTTCAAAATTGTATTTGTAAAATGAATTTATTTCTTAACATTAATTTAGAAGTTGAAATCATAAAAATGTTCTTAATAGCAAAATGTATGTACCTGGCAATTTGTACTGTTTAATCTATAATGGTTGGGTTTGAATATAAGTGTTTGAGAACAGAATTAATTGGCCAAAATTACTATCTAAATATCTGTTTGAGAAATGATACATCATATCATGTTTTATGATTTACAAGCTTAATGGAAAGTTGTATTACCTGAACATTTCAGTTTGTTTGATCTCATGACATTACCATAGGAGAGGTACCAAAGACAGTGTTAATATTATGTATAGGTCCATGAATATATTACTCGGGTCTTTCTCCCATTTTCAACATGCTTGAAAAATTACATTTTAATTACTTAACATCAAACATGTTTAACCTCAACACAGATTGTGAGTGCTAAACAAAGCATTTACAGTAATCCTATATTTCGTACCTAGGGCCAAAAATGAGGTTTTGCTGTCTCAAAATCATTTTTAAGTTCGAGATTAAGTCAGAACTTTAAAACGATCTAGAGCTGTAAACCCCTTTTGTCCATTGGCACGAACACTATTTTTCACTACACTATACATAATTGAGAAAATGTATACTATAAATGAACATTAGTCAACACAACTAAAACTTTAAGGTTATATTGTGAAGAAATATTAAAGAAATCTATTCTATATAAATAAAATTAGAGTTTTGTCTGTACATTGGTCAGAATTATAAACTTTTAGGTTATTTTTACGATTTATACATTAAAGAAACCGAAACAAGTCTCATCTAAATTTCTGTCCGTCTGTCTG